AGCCTTTGGCCTCTGTGACTGTGCAGAACAGAGCCACACTCATGGCAAGGTTAGAAACTGGAAGGCAAGGGGGAGACGAAGTGTATTGGTGGCTCTCTCACCATTTTAGTGCCTGCTTCATGGGGTTTCTTTCCGGATGAGTCTTTGAAGTGCTGGAGCTTGACTGCGTGGCATCTCTGCTTCTTCAGCCAGCAAAGCATCGTTGCTTGGGCTGCCTGAAGAGAAAGGCGGAGGCTGTCACAGCCTCTGTGGGTGTCAGAGCTGCTACTGTGGGCTGGAGCTCGTGCAAGGTTTCAGCACTGCAGACAGGCTTGACACCCTCTGCAGAGCACCCCAAAGCCTCTGCTGTGACCCCAGCCCTGCTGCTGGCTCGTGCTGTGGTACTGCCTCCTATGGCAGCTTTCCTCCGATGCTCCCCATAGCAATGTTCCCATTTGGGAAGCAGAGGGATGGTCCCCGAGGTCATTACAGCACTGGATGCAGAGAGGGGCAGAGATACGCCCCAGACCTCACTTCAGGCAGGGCACAGGAAGCATTATTCTCCATGCCTGGAGATGCCTGGGGATCCCCAGGACCTGCTGCCATATCCATTTCAAAGGGGCAGCCCATCCCTCACCATCCATTGGGATAAGGGCTGCACTATTGCCAGGCTTGCAGGTGATGCTTCCAGCCTAGGCCTGGGACTATTGTGGTGATTTCACTTAGTCTAAACTTCTTCTGACTGCCCATTGCCCCTTCTAATCAGATCCAGACTGCCCTGTCAAGGCATGAGCTTGTATCTCCTTATGGCAGCATGGCCATGGTGGGGCTTGGAGATGCTGGTACCAAAAAAGTGTTCCCTGGAGACTCCTGCTTTGTATATAACTCTGGTCCCTAACAGCTTCATTGCAACTGTGCACCCACCTTAGGGAGCAGAGACTTAGTTCCACTTCAGCAAGACAGAAAATAGGCAAGAAGGCAAGCAGAACCCCAGTGCTCTTGGATAAAAGAACATTAATGCCATTAATACCCAGCAATCAGAATTTCTTAGAGAGAGAACAGTGCTGCATCCCTTCCCTCCTGCTCGTCCCCTGCTTGTTTAATGAAAATCAGAGACAGCCATTAAAGAGCTGCTTAGCATTTCAATACATTTAATATCCTCACTGATAAGGGAACGATGGATATTACCAAAAGGCCTTTCTTAAACTCTCCCCTTCTGCAGCCGGTGCTCCTGGTTTGTGTTTGTCTCGATTCCAGCTCCAAACCATCTCCTTCAACAAGGAAAAATTATGATAAGGTTCTATTTTTTAATATAAAGGATATTAATAGACAGCGTTTCTGATAATGACAAGGAGGAGAGGCATGCCAGGCCTCCCAGCCTTGACCTGAATCAATCGGGTGCTGATTGCTTGGCTGGCCAAGAGCCACACACAGTCCTACCTCGTCACAAGTGATGCCAAGGGCTCACCCTCCCCACTGGCACCGGTGCAGCATGAGGAACTCTGATGTACCAGATGAACTGTTATATTGACGTAGATAACTTGCTGGCATGGTTATATATTAGATGCCAGTTCAAGGGGCTGTCCCCTTGCATTGTTACATGGGGTACACTGGAGTTCACCCCAGAATTACCTCCAACAGGTCAGGCTGGGGCACCAAATGCAAGTTTTGCTGGTGGATGCCACAGCCATGTGAAAGTGCAGGGGAGGATGTACCCCTGAATGGGTCCTGGATCCCCATCCTATCCTGCTACCCCCAGAGCTTTGCTGGGGAGCCCAGGGCATGGGGGGAAGCCAACAGGTACCTGGCTTGTTTAATCACAGTTTTAAAAGGTCCTTGGATTCAGGGCTGTTATCTGTGCAAGACATGGAGGGGGTATTGTGCATGGCCATCTGTGGGGAGGGAAGCCCCACTGGGACCCCTATCCCCCACCTTCAGGGGGGCACTGCTTTGCCAGGAGGATTCTGAACCTCTTTGCAACGTTGGCTGTGCTTGGGAACACACTCAGCTCATCCTCATCCTCATCCTCATCCTCATCCTCATCCTCATCCTCATCCTCATCCATCTTCATCCTCATCCTCATCCATCTTCATCCTCATCCTCATCCTCATCCTCATCCTCATCCATCTTCATCCTCATCCTCCCACAGATACCTTGTGAGTGGGATGCACATTGGGCTTGGAAGAGAGCATCCACACCCCATCATGTCTCTTCACTCCTCCTTCTGGGAAAGGGATGTACAGCAGCAGACAGATGGATGGACAGGCATCGGGGGGCTACAGCGACTGGCAGCATGGCTCTGCTCCCTGCCCTGGGCACCCCCTTCTGCAGGGATTGGAGGGGGGTCCTGGAGATGGTGACATTCCCTTAATGACTGCCACCAGCCCTGACCCGGGGATGCTCGGCCCTGCAAATACTACAGGAGAGCAGAAGTGCCTGGACATTGCTTTGCTGGCTCCAGGAGGAGCAGGGACAGCGGAAGCGAGCAGAGCTTCCTTTCTTGCTAGCCCAGGCACAGATTTGCTCTTTGCAAGGCTGCGATGAGTGATCCTGGGCGCAAAGGTGGGTGAGAAGGGCAACAGCCACTTAGGTCTGAGCTGCTGAGTTAGTGAGGAGGTAAATGCACATTGAGCTGGGCCGTGCTAAAAGGGGGTATAGAGAGGCTTGGCTCCCTTCCTTTGCTGATCCTCGCTGTGCTTTCCTTTCCCTGCAGCATCTATAAATATCCTCCCCATCTCCGTTTGTGGCTCCTGCGATACCCTGTGACGGCGTCCACGGCTGGATCCTGGTATGGAAAAGATCCACATTTCCAGACAGGAGCATCCCAGGCTTCTCAGTAAGTGTTCATACCCTGTACCAGCGTGCACACTGACAGTGCCCAGCCTCCAGGCACCTGCACCCATCATCCACACGAGGCACATCCTGACCACAAAATCAAGTGTCCAGTGAAACCACCTGCCCAGCGTGCGTGCTCTGCACTACAACACGCAGCTCTCACTGAGTCACCAAAGTCCTCCATCAAGGCTCAGCACCCTGCTGCACTCACCACTGCATGCAGGGAGCCCAGTACATATCATCCTCTCACGCCAAAACCAACTGTATCTGAGAGGCCTCCCATTCCCTGGGAGGGATTTGGGGAACACTAGTCTGGTGTCACTGTGTCCTTGCTCCTGCATAGCCCCCTTTACATTCTAACAGTGCCCAACCACTGCAGCTTCTCTGGGCTGCAAAGCCAAAAGCTGTGGGGAGGTGCAATATCTGGTAGCCCTGGGCACCTTTGCAAGGCTTGGAGGACCCATGGTCCTGGGACTGTGTTGGAGGTCTGCAAGGTTAACCCCTTGTATTAGAGCATCACACGCAGCAGGCATCATTTACCACTGCAAAGCCAAAGCTGGCTTCTGCTTCCCCAGAGATTCATTTCCAGAGCTTGGGACTGAGGTTGTGGCAGTGTGGATGGTGTCCCTCTGGCATGCTTGGGCATTGGGTGGCAAAGAGCTGAGGGATCCAGCACTGAGCTGTGACAAGTCCTTTGAGCACAAGGAGATTGTGGGGTTGGAGTAGCAATGCAATAGCTGGCAGAACATCAGCTCTCCCACCGGGTGCAGGTGGGAGATCCCATCATGGCATCACCCTTGGCCTGACAGCACCACTCACCCTCTGCCAGATGCCTTGGGAACTGTTGGATTCCCCCCCCCAAACCACGGCTGTGTCACTGCTCTGGAAGCCCATCCCATGATACCACTGATGACAGGATCTCTCCAGCGCTGTCTCTGATAGACGGCTTCCCAGGCAGGCAGAGCAAAAAACCTGGAGGGATCTGCTACCCTGAGCTGTTCCCAGGTCCTGGTGATGAGTGGTGCAGACACATCCCTGCAGGCACAGCCCTCATCCGTTCTGAATGGGGAATTGTTGCGAGACAGGCAGGGAGCCCCTCTCACTCCAGCACGTAGGAAGCTGCTGACAGCACTGTGGGATACTCCAACACGGGGTCCAGCATCTCCAGGGAGCACACTGGGATCCAGGGCAGGATGGAGGGTGTGAGACACTCCCCTCCTTCCCAAGCCCACTGAGCAAGCCTGGGGTGAGCTTCATCCAAGGGATGAACATTCAACAGAGCAGGATGCCTGTCCTTCCTCACATGCCTTTTCCTGGGGTGATTGCTGAGGGCAGGGGAGGGCTGCGATCACACATGGGTCCTTTGGCCAGGAGCACACGGAAGAGCGAATAACCCCGTTGCAAGAGTCAGCATCAGTGATTACCGCGGGCAGGTATTAGCGGTTGTTCAGCATTTAAATGGGGAAACGGTCACGGCCACTGCAGGGGGTCTGTTGACAGATGCTGAGTGTTTAATGCCGAACAAGGTACTCACCTGACTCAACAACTGTGGCAGCTCTGAGCAAGTGGGATGCAGGGGTTTCCTTGGAAGGGCTGTGGGGAGGATGCTCTGTGCTCCCCAGGCAGCCGAGTGTACCTACTGCAGTGCACCCTGCCCCGTGCCTGGCCTTGCCCAGCCTGGGACAGCCGCTGCATCCTCCTAAGCTCTGCTTTTGAAGGCTTTGGCCCTCTTTCAGGCAGCCAACGTGGCTGTAAATGGCTTGGATGTTACCAGCCCTGGCCGTGCTGTCCCCTGCTCCCACTGCCCCAGCTCAGGGGTGAGCAGGGAGTGTCTGTCCCAGGACGGTGCGGCATGATGGGGTGTGTGGGGTGTCTGCCTACCTCTTCTTGCCCCAGACATACAAGAGGAGCATGTGCAGGGGATTTTCCTCCCTGTGCACAGCGGGACTGGGGGGTAACCCCATCCCCTTCACTCCTGACCCCGACTGAGTGCAAACTCCCCGCCGGGCCACGGCTCAGGCTGCGAGTTTGTCTCTTGCAGACGGGAACAGCCAAGAGCAGTGGGGAGCACAAGAAGCGGTGGGGGCCATCACGGGCCGGGAGGACGGACGGACGGATGGATGGGTGGCAGCGGGGAGCAGGAGCCCGCCGTCCGGATGCTGAGGCTGGGTACAGCGAACGCGTGTGTTGCGGGAAGGGGGGCTCGCTGCAGAGCCCACCCAGCCCATTGGCTTGCGAGCCGTGACAGGCAGGCAGCTCCCTCCCCGCCAGCGCTGCCTGTGTGGATGTGAGCAATGTGCGCAAAGTGCCTTCGCATTAGCCCCGTTGAGTGCCGTAGCGCCGGGCGCTCGCTCGCAGAGGTGCTGGCACAACCGAGGTGGCCCTGTCCCGTGCCTGGTGGCACTGCCGGACCATGGCATGGGCACAGGGGGACCTGACGTCCTCACTCTCCATCGTCATCGCTTTGGCTGCCTGCCTCTCCGCCACCACCAGCGAAGGTAGGAACCCGGGGCGGCCCTGGAGCGACAGGGCAGTGGTTGGGGGGACCCGCAGGATCATTGCGGTTGGTTGGATGTGTCCGCATGGGCTTCACTTCTCTGTATTCCCAGGGGGGGCACGGCTCCAGGTTCCTGCCTGCTTGAGTTTGCTGATCCTGGAGCTTTTGCACCAGAGGCTAAACTTCGGAGCTGGGCAGGAGGACTTGATTCCTGCAGCAGCGCTGCCAGCTCTGGCCTCCCTTCAAGGGCTCTGCTGCAGCGTGCGAGGGTGGCTGCAGAGGGGACACACACGGCAATCCCCATCACCAGAGCTGGCAGCAGCACGGGGCTGTGCTTGCTGGACGGAGCAAACGGGTGGGATGTGGGGAGCTGGGAGGGCAATTCGGTGGGAAACTTGTCACGAGGGAAGGGGCTGGAAACTTCCGAAGTGGAAAGCAGGGATGCAGCCAGGGACCCTCTCCTGACAGCTCGGTGTCAGCAGTGTTAGGCCTGCTCCCTCTGCCTGGCCACGCTGCTGCAGCTGCGCTCAACCTCCTCGGCAGTGCCACCCTGCTCCGGTGTCCCCCCTTGGCATCGGGAGTGCTGCTGACACCCACCCGCTCGCCTGCCTCCTCCTACACTGGCAGTGGCAGCACGGCTGCTTCCCGGGTCTGCTGATCATCATCACCCGGAGATCTGCCGTTCCTGCTCCCAAGCGTGTCCTTGGCACCGGCAGTAGCATCCTTCCTTCCTCCCTTCTGCTACACCTGAGAGCCACGGCCAGCACAGCACATCCCTCTGCAGCGAGCCCCCGTGCTGCTGTCCCTGCCCGGTGGTGGCAGTGGCATCTCTCCCTTCTCCTGCCTCTGCATCCCTGCCATCCTTTCGGCATGCCGAGGCCCACGGACTGGCACTGTGATGCCTCACACACTTTGCAGCACCCACTGTGCCGGGTCGTTGTGCCTGCTGCCATCTCGCATTACCCACCATACCTCCCCTCCCACCAGCCTATCTTCCTCTCCAGTATCAGCCATTTCCAGCTATTCTGGTCCTAACCCTGTTTTCTGCCCGCTGTCCGCTTCCTGGCACTTCTCCTGTTCCTTTCCTCACTGCTTTCCTGTCCTTGATGGGGATTCACTGGTGTCTCTCTGCTGAGGATGGGCTGTGTGGGTGCCGGATAGGACCCCAGCATCCTGATACCCCAGCCCTTGCCGCCCTGTGCCCAGGGCAGGGCGCAGTGCAAGATGCTGCCTGTGTTGCCGGTGGCTCTAGGTGCTGCAGCCCTACAAAGCCAAGCAGCTCTGCCTGAACTTGGGTAACCCTGGGCATGGACAAGTGATGCAGAGGCGCCTTTGCTTTCCTCTGTGAAGGAGATTGCTGGCTACTGCATTGGGTTTTATAGTGTGTGTATGGAGATCCAGGCCCGGACTGCTGCCTGCCTCTTCCCAGCTGGGAAAGACCTGGGTTTCCTGCAAGACTTTTTGGAAAGGAAAGCTGGTCTCAGTAACAGCCTCGGTCAGGGGGATACGTGGGGCTGGGGATAAGCTGGGCCCTGGTGAAGATCAAGCAGACAAGACCTAGGTTAGACCAGGTAGAAGGTGCTGGGTGGCATCAAGACAAAGTATGGGATCCTGCAGGATGATGGTGGTGGCCCCGTCCGCTCGCAAGGTTGCTTGTGTCTCCAAGGGTACTGGGGCTGATCAGTGCCAGCCATGCGCTGCAATCTGGGCAGTGGAGTGGGGATGCGGCTGCAGGCTCCTGTGAGCATCCAGCACCCCAGGGTGCTGCGCTGTGCTCATGGCACTGCCCATGGTGTGCCAGTTGTTGAGCACCCTGGTACAAGGATGGGTCTAGAAGCATAGAGAGATGCTGCAAAGTGCAGCACAACCCTCGTGCCTCCCGCGCCCCGGTTGTGCTGGGCTTTGCTATCCCATCTCTGCAGCCTGTGCCTCAGCACAGAAGGTATCCATAGTGCACAAAGGTGTCCAACGCTGCCAACCATAACCTCTGCCCGCTGCACAGCCACAGTGCACCTCTGCCCGTGCCACCCAGCACCCCTGGTGCTCATTTGAGGGTTGTAGGGTAGGAAATTGCAGCCACAAAGCAGATTTGAGACTGGTGCGCGCTGCACTCTGTGTGCGCGTATTGGGAGGCAATTGGTGTATAAAGACTTGTATTAACCTGAAGGAACGGCTTCAGTCTGATTTTATTCCCCTTCCAAGAGCTCCCAGTGCCTTTCTCTTTGCTGAAAGATTGGTTCCAAGAAGTTTCAAGCTTATATTTTTTATTATACAATTATATATAAAGATATTTTATTATAATTATTATAATTATTATAAATATCTTTATATATAATTATATAACTATATATAATATATCTTTATATATAATTACTATTATTATAATAATTATAATTATTATAAATAATATATTCTATATATTGTTATATAGTTTTCATTCGTTTCAGTCTTTCTAACAGTATGTGCCCTGGAAATGGGAGGAAAAGGGAATCTCCATTCCATGGTAAATCCCCACATTTTGGCGTGGCAGCCATTGCAAAGCGCTTTGAAAGCCAAAGCTCAGATTCTTTATAGATGGGCGGAAATTTGCAGGATATGGGAGATTTCCATTTGGAACACTGAAGAAAAAAAAGAAGTCCGAAATTGTTAAATTGCTTCAGAGCAGGGCAGCAGAAAAGTTATTTTCAATAATATGGAGATAGTGTGATAGACTAAAATATTTACACTATTACACGCTGTGTTGCATTGGCGAAAAATATCAGAGCAGGTATTTTATATGACACCAGCAGCTGAAGTTAAATAATAAAATATGAAATATCTCTGCTTTATGGAAAGAAAATCTCACGAGCAGAAATTGCCACATTTGAGGCTTGGCCAAGGGGTGACAAAATCGGATTTTCTGCCCGAAAATGGCACTTGGAATGCCGCTGCTGGGGTCTGCTTGCTCCCAAGCGATGGCTCTGGCTCAGCTCTGTCCACCATCAGTGAGGTGGGTGACCCTTCTCCCCATCGCAGCACAGACCCCACGGCCTGCGGGTGGGCTTGGTGGTACCTCGGTAGGGATCATGGTGCGGCAGGGAAGGGGGACCAGGGGACATCTCCTGCAGCATTTCAGGGCTTATCAGGACGGCCGAGGCAGACAGCAGGTGATGGGGATAGGATGGTGTACAGGGACTACACCGGGAAGGATGCAGTGCTGATGACACAGGGATGCTCGTCCTTTCCCTGCGCCATGGGTCAGTGATGGAGACGTTTTGTTCCTCCCTACAGCAGGGATGGCATGTGGGAGAGCACCAGGATCCTTGGGAAAACCCAGCAGCTGAAACAGGAGCCAGAGGAAGGGTTTGTGGCGATCTCCCCTGCTAATCTCTCGACTGTAATCTCATTAATTGCCCCTCTGCTCAAACAGAAAAAGAGGTAAAAGCTCATCTCCGCATTTATTCAGCGCTACTTTTGTACCCCTTCAATGCCGAAGTCGGGGCTGCCAGAGAAGGAAAGCTCTGAAAGGGAGAGGAAATAGCTTCTTTCCATTGTAAAAAGGCTGTGAGGATGCCGTGTTCCTCCGTAAGAATAGGAAACAAGAGGTTTTAGGTACACAGACTTTTAGTGATGGGGGCATGGGGAAGTGTTAGTTTAAACCAGAGCTGATTTGGGCTGTGTTTGCAGGAAAACAAAATAAAATCATTTTGGGGTGTGTAATATCTTTATTACTCCCCAAATGCTGCTATAAAACAAACACTTGCAGGATTTTAGGATCATGGGGGAATATTTCTGGTCTTTCTTTCTCATCTTCATTTCCATCTGCCTCATATTAACAGCTTCTTATAGTAAAACTTCTGGAAAATCTAACCCAAAAGATCTCAGACAAATAACAGAACAGGGCACAAATTGCACTCACTCTGTGGGCTTTTTATTCGCTCTCCCTGGATTCTTGTTTTCAGAAATAGTGAGGGATTTATTTCCAGTGAAAAGAAATGGGCACCATTTTGGTGACGGTGGAAGCCGATCTGACGGATCCAAATTTAAGTATAACTGAAAACCCAATGAATTACTACAGGGACAAAGGAATTCCCTATTTATTGTTTTTTTTTTTTTTTAAACTGCTGAGAAATAGTTAGGAAAAAAATATTTTACCTAAAAGAAAAGCACAAAACCCAAACCCAACAAAAAATCACAAACCCCAGCCCTAAAAGAGGCTCAATTAGGGAGGGAGGTTGAGCTGCTCGTCCCATGCATTTCTCTGCGGTCGGCACTTGTAGGTCCTGGTAGGTGATGCTCTGTGAGTGCCGATTTCATCAAGACACCCCGACACCTCGGCTCATTGTTTCGGCCGGGTCCTGTGTTCTGTGCCTCCCCGCTCGCCTCCCTGGCAGCCTACGGTGCTGCCTTTATCTCCAGGGGTAAATCCCTTCATGTGATAACTCCATTCGTACCCTGACAGGTTTTGATAGTTCGGTGTCCTCACCCCAGCGTGTTTGCATGAGCAACACTCAAAATTATCCCTTTGTCACCCAGAAATGGTTAACCCCTGAGCGGAGGGATCACGCAGCCGTGTTTCCTTCATCAAGAAACAAAAATCCCCATGTCCTGCCTGGGTAGGTGTGTGGTCATAAATAACAGCATAAAGGACCTAAGTCCTTTACGGATCAGGTCCAGCCACACCAATAAAGCCTAATGAACGGTGCTTGGCCCAGGGATACCGTCGAGAAAGCTATTCAATACTTATCTGAAGACACGGGCAAAGGCAGACCCATCCCTGCCTTCCCTAATCCGTTCCAATGGCTCATCAGCCTCAGCCTTAAAAAATTGGACCCCTCTTTTCCCTGATATAAATTTCCCTGGTTCACCTTCCAGCCATTTGTTCTTGTTAGGCATTTCTTGCTAGATTAAAGACCCCGTATTCTAATGCTGTGAAAGCATGCTGGGTGCAAGCGGGTGCAAAATTGGGCTTTGCAGTTACCCTTCTCACATGTTTTTAGTTCCATCCCTGGTATCATGGCT